AATGTTACAATTTTGTGATTTACTGTGACTTAATCTAATAAAAACTAAATTCAAAGCAAAACTACTAATAGCAAATATTAAATCACAACAGCCACATATAAAATAGGCATATATAAAGTCACAATGGCTAAATATAATCACAAAAATCTTTAAAAACAAACTTTAAACTTCAAATTAAAAAAAATTAAACTTGGAAATTTTGATTTTCATTAAAAAATGAAAATCAATTTTTCTCTAGCGGGCGTAATACCTGACAAGAAAGGTATATGTAGCCCAAATGTGGTCATAGTGTTTTCGTGTGGATTAAAAGTGTAAAAATATATTGCAGTTGATGAAACACGTATTTGATAAAGATAAGTGTGGCCCACTTGTGGAACACATAATGCGGTTCACATAACTATTCCACTTAATGTGGCATAATCCTTAAATAAATACATGCTAAATTTGATGTAGCTATAATATGGGCCATACATATAAAACTCACGATCTTGCCTCATTTTGAATTTTAAATTTTAACCATGTAATAATTCTATCGCAATGCATTGTAAACTCTTGAATATTCCATGATATCATGTGGCTTACCGCTTTGATAATTTTCAATTTATAACTGTTGTAAGTATATCAGTGCACATTTTGTTAAACTGTGCACATTTTGTGACACTGCAGATTTTGTTCAAAAATTCGATCTAAAATGAATTATTAAATGCTTATTTAATTAATAAATTAATTGTGTTCATCATAAACATTGATAAAAAAGAAACTAATAAAAATTGCTGATAGTTTTAGAGAAGATCAGTAACCAAGTATGAAGGTCAAGTAATCAAGATTTTTTTGTAGGACATCCGTAAGACTTTTGAGAACAGCAATTGTTTTATTGGTTACTCCTTTAGATGGTTTTAAGTTTTTTCAAAAACTTGGATATTTTAATCCAGAGTCTCTATTTTTTGATTAATTTTTTAGAAATTGAAATCGAGGTTTTAAATTGGGTATTTGCTTTAAACAAGTTGTCACCAGTTAAGCTTAGTTCTTTCGTAAATCTCTATTTTTTTTTTTCTTTCCTAAAATGCAAACATAAGTTTAATTATTTAACATAAGAATAAATTAAGTAATATAGATTATTATTTTTTTAATATAGTCACTTTCTATAATTGTTTTTAAAGTTTTACACAATGAATCAAAAACTATCCTTTAGAAAAATTCCCGTTGAACTAATGATCCTTTTGTTAGTACCTCTGTCAAGAGAAACTCTTAACCTTTTCTAACAAAATTAGACAATTTAGTTTCCATATTATGTCTTCATTCTAAATATATTATTACCCAAAAGTTTTCATATTTAATATATTATTACTACATTGTTACTTTTGTTTTAAATTGCAAAAGATATTAATGAAAGTGTTTGTGACAAGAAATTTTGTATAGCAAGAAAGTGTATTTAAGCAATAGGGTAGATTAGGGTAATATGAACACCTTAAACAAAAATTGGAAAATTTTCAAAAATAGTTAAGCTGGATCCAAAATTTTTGCAAATAAACAATTTTTAGGGATCCCTACTTATAATCCACTTAAATATTTGGGCACCCGAAATTGTTTTTTTAAAACACAGAGGTCTTAAAAAAGTAGCAAAATTCCTCATATTACCCAGACCACTTGGTAATATGAGCACTTTAAATAAGCTCAAAAAAATAACATCAATTAGATAAAAAATACCAACCTGGCAAATGATGGCAGAAGGTTTATGAACATAAATCTTCACTATAATACTGAATTTATAAATCTCGGATTAGAGAGAATAATTGGATCGCATAATGCAGATGATTGCCTTAAATACTTATCAAAAAACTAGACATGTTTAATGTAAGTCTTTTCAGTGATATGGTTTGCATAACAACAGATGGGGCTTCCGTTATGAAAAAAATTAGGAAATATATCTCCTGCTGAATATCAACTTTGTTTTGCACATGCAATACATTTAGCTGTAGATGATGTAATTTATAAGAATAAAGTTAAAAATAATCAGATTTTTAATGAAGAAGATGTTGAAGATGATTTTGATGTTTTTGATGCTGATTATGATGATGATGATGATTATGATGATGATGATGATTATATTGATGATGATGATGATGATGATGATGATGATGATGATGATGATGATGAAGAAAATGAAAATAGTGACCGAGCTCCTGATCTTGTTCCTGAGCTTCAAAAATTGTTGTAACTTTTAAAAGATCTACCTAAAAAATGGATACTTTGAAACGTTATTCTAAAAGTGAACTTGGACAAGAGCTAATACTTATTTTAGATTCAAAAACTCGTTGGAATTCAGTGCTGGCCATAATTCAAAGACTTATTAAAGTTAAAAAAGCAGTTGGTAAATCTCTGGTGGATAGAAAAACTCATGATGATGAGCTTGAAGTAGCTGAAAGTTTAGCAAAAAGTCTTGAGCCGATTGTTGTAGGTTCTGAAATGATTTGTAGAAGAAAAGCAACACCATTAACAGCTGACGACACATTAAAACTTATTGTTACAGAACTTGATGCTCAAGATATTTATCAAATAATCTCAAGAAAGGAAAAAAGAAAGTTGAAAGAAGGAAAAAGAAAGTTGAAAGAAGGAAAGTTGAAAGAAGGAAAAGTGATCTTGTTAGTTTATTAAGGTTTTTACATAACCTCTTTAAAAAGTGATATGTATAATAACTTTTTTAGCATACTATCTAAAACAGAGATGATTTTTCATTTCGAAAAATTAAGAAAACTATTTATCTAATTTAAAAATTTCATTTTTTATTATAAAGTTAAAGGAATTTAATGATTTTAGCGTATTTAAATTTTTTGTTTTTTGAAAAGTGTTCCATTGTTTTGTTTCGCGGTATGATTACATATTCAGAATACTTACTTTTAATTTTTGGCATTTTATAAGTATTCAATTTGTTTATTCTAAGAGAATACTTATTGTTTACATTTTTTGTAAATTTATTATTAAAGTTTTTTGGAATCAAGCTGTTGTTACATTTATACATTAAAATTAGGTGTTGGTAAATGTTAATTTCATCATTTGCATGTCTTCCCTTCATGGTTTTGAATATTCATATTTTTTTTATAAATAAGTCTGCGAGCATGTTTTTGTAAAGAAAATATTTTTTTAAGTTTTGTTGGTTGAGTACTAGCCCATGTAATATTGGCATAGAATATGAGACAACGTATTAGGCCAAAATATACTAGTTTCAGACGTTCTGATGTTACATATGGACAAATACGGTACATCAAACCAATTGTTTTACTAATTTTTGATTCCCCATATAAATTATTTCAGAAAATAATTTATATGGGGAAGCCATGATAAATTTTCATCAATTAGAATTCCTAAGATTTTTACTAAATAATTTTTACTTATTAGTGTATTATTTTAAATCCAATCAGGTAATTTTAAAGGAAGTTTTTTTTTATCTTGTGATTTTATGAAATAAAGTATATTTTGTTTTATCTACATTGAGTGAAAGCTTATTAGTCTTAAACCATTATCGACATTTATTAGTTCAGAGTTCATGTCAGAATACAGATGATTAATGTCACAGTTTGAAAGGAAGAGATTTGTGTTGGTAGCAGACATGATTGAGTTAAGCACTGCTGATGCATTATTTAAACCATTTACATAAATCAAGAAAAGCCGTAGACCAAGAATTGACCCTTGTGGAACTCCACATAAAATTTAAACTTGTTTTGTAAAACATATTGTTTTGTTTGAGTGAGGTAGCTTTTTAACCAATCGTGGGTTTTATTTAGCACTCCGTAGTGTTTTATTTTTTCTAAAAGAATTAGGCGATCAACCGTATCAAATGCTTTTGATAGGTCAATAAATAATCCTAGAGTGAAGCTATTATTTTCAAATCCTTTAGTAATTTGGTCTAATATTTCAATTATTGCGTGTTCTGTTGAATGGTTTTTCCGAAAACCAAACGGTTTTGTGTAAAATAAATTATTTTCATTAAAATGGTTATAGATTCTATTATAAATTACACGTTCAAATATTTTTGAAAATGCAGAAAGTACTGATACAGGTCTATAATTAGAGGTTTCAGATCGATCATTAATTTTGTAAATTGGACATTGATCATTATTTTTGTAAATTGGACTTTAATGCTTCAGGAAAAATTCCTTCTTTTATTAAAAGTTTTATAATATGGAACAAATGTTAGAAGTATTTTTTGTTTGAAGTAACTATATTACGAAGTAACTATATTTGTTTGAAGTAACTATATATGAAGTAACTATATTACTAGAAATGTCATCAAAATTTTATCATTTCAGGTGATTTATTGTTTTTTAAAAAAGAAAAAAGCAATTTTATACTCTTTATGAGAAAAGTCGCGATCTTGCAGTATCGCGCCATTTAAAGATTTAAGATATTTTTGAAAAGAATTTAGTGTAGTTATGATTTTTTCAGCAAGGTTAGGGCTAATGTTTCTAAAGTATTTATTTAACTCATCCCAGCAAACATGTAAGCGTTGAATCAACGTTGAAAACCAGTCGCAGCGTAGAAAAAGCGTTACAGTCACAAAAACAACGTGCTTTCAACGTTGAACCAATGTCTGTTTTTGTATACTAAATCGCGGTAAATTGAAACGTTGAATAAGAGTTGAAATTGTAACGTAATTTAGCCTCTCAAAATAAAACGTTTATTCAACGTGGAATCAACTTACGTAAAAAGCCACTTTAAAAACGTTTTGAAGTATATGCTTTATCAACGTTAAAAACAAACCGCTTTTTAAACGTTACATTTTCAACGTTGAATAAGCGTATAAATGTAAACGTATCTTATTATCTTCTCAAAAAAATGCATTTATTAAACGTTGAAAATAAGTACGCAAATAATCACTGTAAAAACGTCGCAAAGGTAATGGTTTATCAACGTTAGACATTAGCTGCTTTTTCAACGTATTTAAACTATTTGAAAAACAACACTTATTCAACGTTATTTCAACGTTGGTTGAAAATGTGGTAATTAAAAAACGTTGAAAAAGTGTTACTTTGCCAACGTTAATAAAACGTTGTTTTGACAATGTTGAGGAAGTGGCACATTGAAAATTATTGTCTCAATAACTAGCCATTACAAAAATAATTTGCCTTAATGGAAAGGCAAGGAAAACTTGGTAGAATGCATGCATATGGTATACAATTTTTTTTAATAAAGTTATATTTCATAGCCTATTTTATTGCGACTAGTTTAAAACTTTTAGATTTTATATCAAAATGTATATAAAGTACATAAATCTCAGGGTAAATTCGATTTATTCAGCTTATTTTTGTCAATGTTTTATTTTGTTTTAAGTTGACGATTTTAATAAAATGCTCAACTTTTTTAAACATTTATTTCTTAGTTAGAAATAGTACTTAGTTTTAATACGATTCACATTTATAAAATATTATCAAAATTAATAAAACATAATAAGTCAAACTAAATTAAGTTTATTAACAGAATAAATTTTTTAGTTTATTTAAAAATTATCACTTATACATACATACATATACATATATATATATATATATATATATATATATATATATATATATATATATATATATATATATATATATATATATATATATATATATATATATATATATATATATATATATATATATATATATATATATATATATATATATATATATATATATATATATATCTGTGTGTGTGTGTGTGTGTGTGTGTGTGTGTGTGTGTGTGTGTGTGTAAATAATGTATATATAAAGATTTATATATACATAATTTACATATACATTAGGTTTGAAGCAGAGGCAGTTGTTCCATCTTGTTCGAAAAAAGATGGATGGTTATTTTGTCAACTTGTGTTCATGCAATGAAAGCTACCTATAATAATTTTTCAATCATTGACTCCTGCAACACACTTAGACTTAAAAGAGTTAAAGTAACTGGAGGTCATTAAATTTTACAGTAATTATTGCTATTTTAATTGTTTTATAAGAATAAAAAAACTATTATAGCTTTATTTTAACGGTGAAGTATTATATCAAATAAACTATTTTATTTTTATTCCAAAATAAGTAACATTTTGAATCTGGTTATGGTATTATTACTGCCTAGATATATATTGTAATCTGTTTACACTGATTCTACTTTTTTATTTTTACATAATTTTATTTATACTTAATTTACTAAATAATTACTAATAGATAAAGAAGTATGTGCAGGATTTAATTTCACAACTAAAGAGGACTCCAAAAAAGAATTTAAGTAATTATGTTTGTGAATAATTTTGTTTCTCTTTGGATTTAACTTTTCTTTGTTTTTTATATAGTAAAGAATAAAAAAAAATTTAATATTAGCTATTGGTCAAAGCTGATTTCAATAATACTGTCTAAATTTTTTGACTTGTGGTAGTTTGATTACCAGTATAAATTTATTTAGTAAAGTTCTGGTGGATCAAAGATCGAGGAATGATTTAGTTTTAACTGGTTTGCATCTTATGAACGAAGTACATAATATGATTTAAATTTATGATTTATATTATATATATATATATATATATATATATATATATATATATATATATATATATATATATATATATATATATAGAAAATTTAAATAAGTTCCAGTTCGAATAACCGTAAATTTACTGTATATATATATATATAATATATATATATATATATATACAGTAAATTTACGGTTATTCGAACTGGAACTTATTTAATATATATATATATTATATATATATATATATATATATATATATATATATATATATATATATATATATATATATATATATATATATATATATATATATATATATATATATATATATATTATTGTTATTATTATTGTATAATATGTTATAATAATTATAGGGTTTTTATTTGTCAATATAGGAATACCAACAATATTGCAATATTTTTTTATTGTAAATAAATGAATTTCGTTGTCTAACAAAAATTGTGGATTTTAAGTCCAGAATTTAAATCCATAAGACAATTTAGTTAATAACACTGTTAAAAACTAACCAAAAGTCTCTAGAATCGACATCTAAGATAAGATACAAGGTTTAGTAAACTGAGAATAACAGAGATTTAAATCAGACAAGACTTTATTTATACATTAGCTTATTGCAATAATAAAAAGGAAAATTTTTTCTTAAGAGAGATGTTCTTATAAAAAAGCTGAAAAACGTAGTTAATGTTGAAAGATGTAGAGTAGAATGATGCTTGTTTTAAAACTGAAAAGAAGTAATAAAAGCTTCCAAACTTTTATTCCAGAAGCAATATAAGCTTCCAAGATGCACTTTTTGCACACATATCATGGATATAAGCATATTTGTTTGCTATTTGTTTAGATGCTGGCATACAATATCCTTTCATTGTTGTATAAACTTTAGTATTTATATAGTGTAGTATTTGTCGAAAGAGAAAATGATCAGATGGATGTGTGGTATGACTCTAACAAGACATAAAAAGTAGCCATAATCTTAGATAGATTAGAAAAAACGTTGTATCAAACAACCTTTTTTTTAGAAAAAGTTAAAGTAATTCAGGTATTAACATGTAGAGTGGTAGCAGCTTCAGTATAAAATGGTTGTGGTAGAAGTAAGAAAGTTTGAAGAGTGTGCCTTACATAGTGCCATAATAAAGATGATGATGATTATCATGATGACGATCAACAACATCAACATAATTTTTATTATCATTGTCAAGCTTTTCCGCTTTTATGCTGTTGATGATAATGATGATCACGATGATTATGATGATGATGATCATATGGATGTGCAGTAATGCAACTAAAATGTTCTGTATCGCAACACGCTTGTTCGGTAAAGCATCTCTTGTTCGTTATTGCAACTTTTTTGTTCGCTATTGCAACTTTTTTGTTTGCTATTGCAACTCCGCGTTCAGTTTTGTAACTTGAATAATTTTGTTTTTTTTATTAACTTGTTACGTCGTCAGCCGGCTCAAAATAATTTTCGTTCAAAGTTAATTGGGCAGACTAAAATTTTTTTGGTGAGTGAAGTAAAATATTGATATTAAAACAAATTTTTATTTTTGAGAAGTAAATTTATGGAAATCTAATATATACCAGTAGCCTATATAATTACACATGTGTTTAAAGTTTTAAAATTCTTTTAATTTTTATTTACAAAATTTACACGAAAAAAGCAATAAATTTTTCTCTTGTATTATTATGTGTATTTTTTATGTGTATTCTCTTGTATTATTATGTGTATTTAAGTAATATATCAGGCGAAAACTTTTAATCATACTCCAACATTATTATCTTTTGTTTTTTTACAAGGCAATGATGCTTATTTTACAATTGAAAGACATTAAATAGTTTTACCATATTTACAATAGTTTAGTTTAAATGTTACTATTTTATTTGGCAAGTTTAATCAAAACTATCTATTATAGTTAGTTTATTAAAAATTATTAAAGTTTCTCAAATATCTTCCTGACCGCTGAATTTCAAACAAATTATTAAAATTTTTCAAATTAAAAAAAAATTATTAAAGTTTCTCAAATATCTTCCTGACCGCTGAATTTCAAACAAATTATTAAAATTTTTCAAGTTAAAAAAAAATTATTAAAGTTTCTCAAATATCTTCCTGACCGCTAATTTCAAACAAATGTGCAGCTCAGTTAAGTTTCGAATGTTAAAGCAACTTTATTTTTTTCTTTTTAATATAATTTCAAGAGTAACTTTCAAAACCTGATGAAGAAGATAAATGTCGTTATTCTTGTAATATATTTCATATCTTTTTCAAAGTTGTTTTCACAATTGTTTAAACATTCAATTAGGGATTGTCTATATATTTTGCAATGCAAAATTTATTTTAAAAAAAGAATTAAATCATATTTAATTCTTTCACATGACAAAACTTTTAGAAAAAAACTTTTGATCTCTTATGTTTTGTTTATTAGTAAAATTTAGCGTTGCATAATTTATGGACAATCCCTATTCATTTCCACTTTTAAATCAAAGAAATTCACTAATACTTTAACTTTTGCTTTTTCTATTCTTTAATTTTAGAAATTCATGGAAAACCTGATTATTGTAGCTGGCTTTTAAATTATTAATTAGTTTTTAGATTTGTCCTAAAGGTTAGTTAAAATTACGATACTTACAGCAATTATAATTTTATTGTAGTGAAAATTTTGTTATTGCACAATCAAACAAAATGTACTATGCAAAATTAAAAAAAAAGACTTGAAATAAAGAGATAATTGAGTGGGGAAAATAAAAAACTAAATTGTGCTCTTTAAAGTACTTTTAAATGTTCTGTGATTGTTATGAAGTTCAAATTTTTAAAGTAACTTATAAATTTATTTTTTTTTAAGGGGAAAAAGATAGATGTTTTTAAGCTTGAATACAATTAAAATGTGTCATTTCTCAGAAAAATTTAAAAGTGCTTATTTAAATTTTTCTAAAAATGGCATGTAATTTTTTAATGCTTTAATTCAGACATTGAAGATTTGTTATCAAAACAACATTTAAAGTTTAAAAATCAATCATCTTCAACAATTACAACACAAACTAATTTGCGTGGTTTTAAAAACTATATCAATTTGATCCTGTATATTTGTACAAAGATATCATGATGTTTTATAGTTAATTCTGCTTTTTTGCATTTATATTTTTATGTATATAATATTCATAATTTGTATTTAAACAATATCCATAAATTTTACGTATAAATTCATAATTTATATGTATAAAATTTTCATATTTTATATCTATATATCATGGATGCGGAAACCCTATAAAGGACTCCGGAGTTAAAGGTCACAAAAAGATTACTTTATTCTAGTTTTTGGTATCCAATAGCTTTAAAGATATAAAAAGGCCTAAGGGCTACTAATGGGTAAAAAAATCAAGACTTATACATCAGTAGAACAATAATTTTTGAACGCGAAGTCCAAGGTATAAAGGCGGCATAGACTCCAGGACTTCACGCTTAAAAGCAAGAGTCCTTTTGAAGGACTTTTTGTTTCATAGGAGCCCTTTTAGAACTCTGCATCCCTGGTGTGTGTGTATATATCAGGCTTGGTCGGGAAGTGGGAGCGATCGCTCTCGATTGCTGACCACGTAAATAATATTTAGTTGCGAAAAGCTGGCCAGATTTTTTAGTCGTTTTGAGAACATTTTAAAAAGCAAAAAAAAAAAAGCGACGAAGATTAATTGGACCGACGAGAGACAATTACAAAAAAAAAAAAGTAGGCAAATAAAATATCTTTAAACGCGAAAAAATTTAAAGCTAAATAAATTACATTTAAAACAAATATTTTCGAAACATCGCTCTTTTATAATTTTTTTTATAAAATTAAGCAATGTTTTTTATAGAAACATCAACTTTTTATAGAAACATACAACCGTCAACTTAAAAGATTGTTTAATAGGAAAACAAATATTCTTTATTTAACTAAGTTTGCAAGTTTTAGTTTTACTTAAGCTTAATTTATTTTATAAATAAAAAAGTTAATTTTTTCAATACCTATTTTATGTTTCGCGTAGTTTGAAAAGTTTAACATATTTAAAGCGATTCTTCTTAGTAAGATAAACAAATGAAATAATTAAATCATTGAATTACTATAAGAATTAAATTATCAAGATAGAAATCAACTAAAAAGGTTAAAAATACTTAATGACCAGGAAACGAAAGTGCTTCACAATATCGATGATGATGTTTGGTGAGTGGGCTTTTAAATTTTAATAAGTGTTTAAAGCAGAAAAAAGTATAACGAGTTTTAAGAATGGCAACTTAAGCAAAAATAATTAGAGTTAGTAAATCAATATCTAGAAATTTTTCTTTATATCTAATTATTTGCTATATATATATGTGTTCTGTCGTGACCTCAGGCGCGATGCTTGTTTATCCGCGAGTTACTTTGTATGCGTAGTTTGTGTTTAGTAACCAGAAACTTCTTATATGTTTGTTACATAATTAGTTTTATTAACTTTAACGATTAAAACTTCATTAAAACACAATTATTTTTGTAAGTCTTTGTTTAAATCATAAAAATTGCTTTAAAAGATACATTACGATAAAAAATAAATACACAAAATTACATTTACATAAAGAATACAATCTCTTTTAAAATAAAAAATAAGAATATACTAATAAAATCTATGATTTATAATAAACTTTGAAAATTTTAACAATTTAACTAATATATATTTAAAACATTTATTTTCGTAAACAAATAATATGAATTCTTAAAACAATGCTAAAAATCTCAAAACGTAACAAATCGTGAATTAAAAATTTTTACAGAATACTCTAGAACTTTATTTCACTTAATCAGCGTATTTTTTGAACCAATAGAATTAGTTTGTTCGTTAATTTGGCGGGTTTTTAGTGTTCGCAAACATTCTTTTTATTCTTTCGCACAAAGACGTTTTGAGAACATTCAAGTTTTTTATGTTTCCATGTATGTCCGTAAAACAAAAATTTTTTGTTTCCGTGCATAAACTTAAATGTTCTCAAAACGACTAAAAAACCTGGCCAGTTTTACGCAACTAAATATAATTTCCGTGGTCAGTATTCGAGAGCGATCGCTCCCGCTTCCCGACCAAGCCTGTATATATATATATATATATATATATATATATATATATATATATATATATATATATATATATATATATATATATATATATATATATATATATATATATATATATATATATATATATATATATATATATATATATATATATATATATATATATATATATATATATATATATATATATATATATATATATATATATATATATATATATATATAGTCTTGCATGTCTCTTGCGTAGCATCAAAAAATATTTCCCATAAACTGTAGTTTTAAAGAGCGCGTTAATAAACCAGACCAGAAAAAGTTTTAAAAATTAAATTTTTTTTTTTAATTGATAGACTGCCTGGCCAAACCAAACCCTCAGTCAATGTAGCAGCACTCTCTTGCGAGTCAGGCTATTTGTCAGTCGTTGTAGCAGCACTCCCTTGCGAGTCAGGCTATTTGTCAGTCGATGTAGCAGCATTCCCTTGCGAGTCAGGCTATTTGTCAGTCGATGTAGCAGCACTCCGTTGCGAGTCAGGCTATTTGTCAGTCGATGTAGCAGCACTCCGTTGCGAGTCAGGCTATTTGTCAGTCGATGTAGCAGCACTCCGTTGCGAGTCAGGCTATTTGTCAGTCGATGTAGCAGCACTCCGTTGCGAGTCAGGCTATAAGATAGTCGATGTAGTAACATTTACGCATGTTTAAAAAATGTTTTTTATTAAATCAATAACAAAAACACCACTAATTAAAAAAAACTTTCTAGTCGTTATAATTGCGGTTTTTTAAAAATTTTTTAAAAAACAATTAAATTTAATGTACTTCCGCATAAATTAATTGCTTTGACATTTCGATGACAATCAAAAACAGCTTAAGAGACGAGGTAATTAAAATTGTAGTCGTAAGAGACTTTTTTTACATTAAAATGCTCTTAAAGCGACACTATATGAGTATATGTATATATATGTATATATATATATATATATGTATATATATATATTTATATATATATATATATATATATATATATATATATATATATATATATATATATATATATATATATATATACACAAGTTTATGCATTTTACTAAACTTATGTATGTATTATATTAAATATATCTTCACATTTAGTGTCTTGTTCCAGCAATAAAGTCATATATGAAAGATTTAAAAAGCTTCATCAACTTACAACAACAGACTCTAGATTCCAATATTAGACTAAATTTAGACCTATAAGGTTGTGACAAAACCCTGAAGATTTAATCAAAAGTTTATAAATATTGTAAACATATAACTATTGAAAAAGTTTATCAAACTGCATTTGCATGCATTTACTTGTATATTCTAGTTTAAAAAGTTTATTACATATTAGATTACTGATTTAAAACAAATTTGGTTGATTTTTTTAACTGAATTTTTTTCACAATATAAAAAAGTCAATTAAGTGTAACGAACTATTAAAACTTATCAAAATGTTAAATTGAAATTTCTCATGCAATCTACAATTGTAGGATTGTCAGCTTTAAGTTGAATGTTAGTTGCATTTAAAATTATGTTTTTTTAAAAGATATATATATATATATATATATATATATATATATATATATATATATATATATATATATATATATATATATATATATATATGTGTATATATATATATATATATATATATATATATATAGTGTAGAGCGGAATTAATTAGCAATCATTATCACTTAATTGGTTTATCTTTAGATCTAGAGTTTTTCTTTTTTTTTTAGTTTTGTTTGATATATATGGTAAAAACCTTTCAACTAACAACTGTCTTATCATCAGAAATCCTTAACGATGCTAAAGACTTCTGATGATAAGACGGTTAGGTCTTCTGAGAACATCCTCATTAAACAAAATTTTTTTAAGAAATTGGCCTTTGACATAAAAAATGATTTAGATTTAAAAAAATTGCTCTATTATTAGGTCTAGGAATTTTAAAGACTAAATTAAATTTACTTGGAAGCATACTAAAGATTCTCGTAATATCCCTCGTATCACTAGGTATGGTACTGTTAAAAATCTGTCAGTTATACAACAAATAGTTTTGAAAAAAAAAACAAGAGTATGACGAAATGGGTCTAAAATTTAATATTGAATTGAAACAAATCTGTATATATAGCTTGTGTTTTAAAATACAAGTTTTTGTTTTTTTAAAAATTGTTCAAGTATTTATACACTCGTAAGTTTTTGTTTTTCACGCTTAAAAGATAAAATTATTTTAGGGTAAATGCCAATGTGTGGTATTTTATGGGTGTTTTTTGTAGTTTTTTTTTTACGTAAATTTATTTTGCTCTATTATCGTGCTCCGATGACTAATGGTCAATTTTTTTAATTGCAAACTCAAAACTTATGGAAGCAATGAATCATTATGACAAAACAAGCTGACAAAATATTACTGCTTTATTGCTCTAAGATTTGCAATAACCCATGATTTTTAAAACGTTTGATATCTTACTTTGTCTTTCCCTATTTATAAAAACTATGGATATTCTTTTAATATTTTGGACTTGGTGAGATGGCCGTTGAAAGTGCATAAATATTTTGTAATCTATTCAAATTTCCAGATAGCGCCGTTTTAATGTTTAGTATATAAAGAAAAGCGCATTAACTTTTACAAAAACAAAAAAATGTTCGCCTTAAGTTGATAAGATCATTAAATAAATAATCTTATTTCTAGTACAACTTAACCCTGTTTAAACTGGATCTTGTAGGTCAAAATTATATGGCGTGCCCCAAAAAAGATTCCATTATTAAATTTATTTTTGGATAAAAATACACTTAGTTCTAATACTTTCTTTGGCACAATTACACTTTTAAGGCACTTATTCCAAATAATACTACTCAATTCTAAAAAACATTCAATTGTTAAAACTGTAAATAAACAGCTTTTATTTTACATGGTAAAAATTGTTGTTTTGAAGTATGGATTTTAAATAAATTTTAAATTTTTTTTCAAGCTTAAGGTGGTCCTCCACAGAAAAGGCAAACTTTTGATCGAAAAACTTTTTTGGTTTATATTTTTCACCAAAAATCTTTTTCTATAAACTATTTTAAAAAATCAACTTAGAAAAAATGTCTCGATTACCCAGTTATTTAAAATAAGAGTTAGCTTGGTATGATAAATTTTGATCACAAAAATTGTTAGTTAAAAAACTAACAGTTTTTGTGATCAAAATATTTGTCATATCAAGCTGAAAATTGGTTTATATACTAATGAGGTATATTAATCCAGATAAGTGAAGCATTTTTTATTATTTATAATATATAAAAGGTTACAACATTTAAAACAAACATAGAAAAATTGCTAAACATTCATCCAGCATTTTTTCTCATAAAAAAGTACTTCCTTTATTTTATTTTAAATATCCTTCTCTCATCCGCATCCTTTTTAATTATGTAAAAAATCACACAAAAAAATTAGATCAAAGCTTAAACGAGTTTAAAGTTAATCATATTTTAAAGATTTGTATTTTAGGCAAAACTTAGTTTTTAGGAAACGACAAATATATAAAACAAAAGAATAAAACCATAATAAAAAGTTCATATAAACATATTAAAACTCTCCAGAATTATATTTTGAGTTTTTTCTTTATTAATTTCTTTATTACCTTTGTCTAACTAAGTCTTTCTTAATCATCTTTGTCTAACTAAGCCTTTTTAATTGTTTTTAGCTATTTTTCTCTCTTTAACACGTTCAGTGGACTATTGAAAAGACCTTTTTATAGCTTCTTTATTCTTATTATTAAGTTTCAAAGACGTTACATATCCTGTTAGTTAAAGTTTATTAAGTGCAAATAAGATTCAATTAGGACCTTCATAAGATTCAATCTCAGACGAATTAACTGCAGACTCAAAGACCCCTCTACTCACAAAAATACGTTTTGGGCAGCGTCTCCAAATAATCTGGTTCAGTGTCTCGTTGGTGTTTTATTAAATCATCTGAAGATAAATCAGTAAAAGTTGGTTTCAAAATGTTGAAGACTGAAGCGTATGTAGCAGAAATATTTACTTGTTCTACATATTTTCACCATGAACTTTGATATTTGCACTAAGTCTCAGTTTCTCTTGGGCAAATGCGGTGTTGACAGTCCTTGTTGTCAAAATCTGTACAACTAAATCGCCTAAACAACTTTTTTTATAGCATACAAATTGTTAAGATTGTTTCTTTTTGCTAGGCTAAAGAAGTTCTGCATAGAATTGATCAAAGATTAAGTTTCTTAACTTTCTTTTTTGATGTAATGGTGTGTTTAATCCTTTATAAGTTTTTACCTTACGAAATCTAGTGTCCATTCTCTTCTGTTTAATTTATATAAATTTTGCAATAAAAAAATGTTATCAGGATTTTTAAAAATTTAGTTATAATCAATAAAATTGCTGCAAAGTAAAGTTTTCAAAAATTTGTGTTAGAGAGTGTCGTCGACAAGACCACATTAAAATGGTAATTTTCCTTTGCATTTAAAACATCTATGCAAAAAACTATGATTCTGTAACTTATGATCAATAAACTTAAATTAGATATGTACTTAATGGCAATAATCATGATTTTTTTTTTAATTGGTATATTTTTAAGTGGCTAGCCAATAACTCTTCAACATCTAATATAAAAGCTAGTTGTTGGCTAGCCATTATGACGACTGCTAATTGCGGTCCACTATGTAACCAATTAGCCTTTTCATTGTGGAAAAAAAATGGGAAACTCTCAAAATGCCTATAAAAGTCTACTAAAATTCCGCTGTAAAATTTTTGCTGGGAAGATTGTTTAAAACAACAATTTGCTGTGTGTATTTTTTTCATAAAGTCAAAATTAGTTTAAAAATACTTGAAAAATTTATTACTTTGATTTAAAGAAAGATGTCAGAAGATTGTTGTAGGGTTTTTATTTTAAAATAATCAAAAATAGTGTTATTTGTGTAATTAAAATAAGTGCATTTGTTAACTATAAATGTTGTATTAAAAGCTTTATTTACTTATTTAAAATTTATTTACATAAACGTTCAATATACAGTTTTATATTCTGTAATAAAAAATTTCCCCTGTTTTAATTGATTGTCCGTTTCTTTACCCTGAAAGCCCGATAACACGCCTCTGAGACTTTGAATAATTTCCGTTCGATTTTACAATTACTATTTGCATCAATTTTATTTTTTGGATAAAAAAGAGTAAATAAGTTTTATCTTAAAATAGTAACTTAAAAATGATTGCAAAGTAGACCTTTCAAATTCATTTATAAGCGAAAACCAGAAAGTTCGGTAATGCAACCTGAGTAGTTTCGGTAATGCAACACCTCACAGTTAAAACCCAATTTCCAAAAAATCTTTTTTGTTTCAAAAGCAAAGTTTATACTTTTTAGACATTCGATTTAGTAAATATTATATCCAGCAGAAAAAATTTTCTTAAAAACGAGTATAAAAAAATTTTGTTAAACGTTTTTTTTTTGAAAACCCAAGTACGAGATTTGTTAACTAATATATTATATAAAGTTTACTTGAACTCAGAAACTTAAAAACGCCACGATGGTATGAAAAATGTCAAAATTTAGAAATGTGGATTTATTTGATTTTTAGCTTGATTTGAAGAAAATGAATAAAAAAAAACACACCCGAATATCATTTTTATGATCCCCATGCATAAACCCATTTTTTCGATGCATTCGGTAATGCAACGCATTTTTTAGAACGGCTCTTATATTTAAAGTTTTTGCTAAAAAAATTTTTTCAAAAACAACATATCTAAAAAGTTTAGATCTTTTTTATTGGTAATACTGAAAAAAAGTTTAAAAATACTGAGCGCCACGGCAATAATCTAAAATCCTGTGAGCCGATGACTTTGTTGCAATAACGAACAGAGAACCATATACTGATGATGATGATGATGATGATGATGATGATGATGATGATGATGATGATGATGTTTATGATGATTATGATGATCATGTTGATCACAATGATGTTCATATATGCATATATATACAAAATATAGCATGAATTTTAAATTTAAAAAATATACTTTAGGATGTATAAATGTTCATGCAGCCTGGTCTCAAATCCGGCCCTGGCCCCGGCTTTATTTTATCAAACCCGGTTCCGACCCCAATCAAATATCAACCCCAGTTGTTTACTACAAAACAATTTAAGAATAAAAAACGTCGTGTTATTTTTAAAAACAATTACTTATTTTATGCTATTACGACAATCACAATATATATATATATATATATATATATATATATATAT